CTCTACCCATTCTCCTGTCCAGGATCTTCTTGTATCAAATCTACTAAGTCTTCTCTTTTCTCTGTAATTTCCTCCTCAGCCCAACACACCTCTCCCTTTTCCTCTTTCAGACTGCTCTCCCCCTCCTTCTCCCCCTCTTTTTTATCCTTCCCCTTTCCTGCCAAATTAGTGCCCCCTAGTGCTTCTGTACTTATTTCCAGTTGCTTTAACCCTCTTTCAATGATCTCTGCCTCTTCTTCTGCTCTGTTGATACAGGAGTCGGATGGTATCAACAGAATATCTGGAGAGTATCCCTGGGGTTACTCCCATCCTCCCACAGCCCCTTGCCTCTCCACCCAGCAGAGCACTCCATGTACTAAGTACCAAGAAGTGGGAATGCTGGAACTCTTAACTACCTATTTATCAATTGCAAAAAGGGACAACAAAATTTGTAAACTGATAAGTAGATGACAATCACCACAATCTTGCTGCCATAGCTTCTTCTCTGAAACTCACTTGCCTGGGCTGGTTTTCCTTGAGCCTTGAAAGCTCAAAATGAACATTTAGGAATGTGAACTTTACCAGACTAGCTCATCAACAGGTTTAACTTGCTTGTTGCTGTATTAGCTGTGATAAGAAAGTAACCTCTTGACCATGATCAGCTGCTAGCCATGGAAAAGCAAAGTACAGTATGCAACTCATATGCTGCCCCATAGTACTTAAAACAATCTATGGGTGGTTTACAATTGAATAATGCAGCCTACACAACCCCGCCCCCAGCGAGCTGTGTATTCAATAGGTATAGGTACACATGTATGAACTGACATGAATCTCCAAACCAAGGTTCGTGCCGATTTCTAGTACAGTATTCAGTTTACCAACTTGGAAGGATGAAAGACAGAGTTCAACCTTGCGCCTGTCAGGATCAAATTCAGGTTGTGAGCAGAGTCTTCACTGCAGCACAGGAGCTTAACCACTGTGCCACCAGGCTCCCAACTACCCTATCTAGCCCTTCTTTCTTGTCAGCCATCCATGTGCAGTACCTCTTCAGCGTGTTTGTATTAAACTGGACTTTCCATCTTTAAAGGATAAATCTAACACCCACAATTAGCTAACTTGTACCATTTTGAAAGTGGCAATTCCCCATTGCTTGTTCTACATAAACCACTTTCCCATGTTGTATTGGTTTCCCAACTTTGGGTAATCCAGGTGTTCTTGGACTGCAACTCCCAGAAACTCTGAGCAGCACAGCTGCTGTTGCAAGCATCTGAGAATTGCAACATGGATTACTCTAGCCTGGGAACCACTGCAATATACTTGACACATGTAGTCAACTCAGTCAGCTACATCACTCATACACTACCACTTTATTTTGCCTGTGAGAGGGTTTGTGCCTTTAACCATTGTTAGAACCTTCTTTCCACACAATTTCCTCAGCTTTGTTCTGACCTATAAAGCAATTTGATCTATCCAATTTTAGGCATGCCTAAGCCCATTGAGATCAATGAGTTAACAGAGGCCCTGTTGGGGGATGGGAAAAATAGCCTTACTAGACACAAGCAGTTTCCTATGTTACAGGAGAGGACTATTTCCCTAGTGCAGGTAAATAATAAAGCAATTTGTAACCATCTCCAGTAAATAAACATTGAAATGAAAAGTGCTCAGAATATAAGACATACTGGAATGTTTAGCATTTGGGCCATTATTTTAAGCATCTACACTATATTTACATATTTTTCATAGGAAAACAGACTAGATCACCTTCATTATTAAGACTTGTACACTCCCTGATATCTGCACTGCATGCAGTACAGCTTAATCCAATTAAAAGTCTCCCATGTTTTCTCATGTCTCATCTTAACACCCCGCCCCATAAACTATGTGGCTTCAGCCTCAAATCATTCTCTCCCTCATACCTGATTTGCTTACCATCCAGCTTGAAAAAGAGTTTATGAATTCAAAATCTGTTTTTGCCACCTAACAGAGGGTGTATATCTGGGATTTTGTGCATGTTATCCAACGGAGGTATTCAGAAAGTTGCATTTGTGCCACTTAGAATCCTTCGATATATGAACCATATATTTTCCAGAGATCATGAAGGTGCATACGTTACACAGAAGTGCAGCCCTGCCAGATCCATCCAAAAGCCTTTGTACATGTTGTGTTTGTAGTCAATTAGACAGATCTTTGTGCGAAGCCATCTCAGGGAAAGGGGTACGGTAAGTCACAAAGACATTTCTTTCACACCTCTTAGAGAAGGGTGTGGGTGTGGAATGGGGAAGGGTGGTGGTAATGAGCAAACAAGCAGTGAAGTTACACACACACACCCCACATCCTATTCCACCAGTATGGAATATGAGGAAATAGCTCTCTCAGGATGGATGAAGGTGGTTTCTCTTTGACTCCCCCATCCACTCATTCTCCCCCAATTCTCATCTCTATGTGCATACACTTCATCTCTACTCCTTCTAGTTTCTCTGTTCCTCCCGTGACAAGAAACAAAACTAGACAACACCCGGGGAAAAACAAGTATTTCCCAAATTGAATTATGTATATTGCCACTATTTCACAATATTGTTGAGCTGCGTGATCTTGGTAGGTAACATAAAAATATAAACATTATGCAGAGTGAAAGCAGCTTCAGCGCTTTCACACCTTCTGCGCCTTGCAGGCGAATGTAGCGAATGTGTCTTCGAGCCACCACTTTTGCCATAACAATATCTGATGACAGCATAGCATTGTTAGTGGTAACGATTTTAGCTTTCCACGAAAATTCAATTAGGCCGTTTTCTAGACGCAAACAAATAAATCAGTGCCAAAATCTTGTACCGACTTACCCAAGATCAAAGGTAGGACACACAGGACTTCTCAGTAAACATACATAGAACTGCACAATTTGTATTAATTATTTTGAGTAGATTTTTTTAGAAAGTTATAACAGGTTAAATAACAACAACTTGACAAAAAAAGAAGCAGTGGCAACGGCAGCTAGTAATGCTAGGCAACTAGACAGAGAAGCTGCTGTACAGTATTTGCAATCATCAGAAATCAGCTTTAGTGAGCATGCACACACCCCTTTGTTATATACTCTCTTTTCACATGTTGCAAGATACAGTTACAATTAAATTTGACTTTCAATTCAAGGTACCTAAACATTTATGGATTTGGTGTAAAGTTATCAGATTACTATACTGTATTAAACAAAGGACATACCATTTGTGTGTCTGCAATAAGGGATACTCCACAATGTTCTACAGCACTATGATGTTTCAAAATTTGTTTTCAATAAAACATCTGCAGGTTCTCACTCAGTCCTTACCAAACAAAACAAACAAATTAAAAATGTACTGATGACTAAGTACAGAAGCTACTGCCGTCATCCTCTGAAACCTTAATTTAAACTCTTATCCCAAAATGCACTTGCTAGGGAATAAATCTTTTTCAACACACTGGGATTTCCTTCCAAATAAACACACAGGAGAGTTCTCTGTAAGTTACTTTATATATATATTAAAAATGAAATAAAACAGTGCTAAAAACAGTGTGGTTTGTTGACAAGAAAAGGATGAGGGTTTTCCAAGCACTTTAAAGAAAAAAATAAAAAGAATTTTTTGAGAAGTGGCAGAAAATTCAGATTAGATGCATTGTGTGTACTTTTATTTCTGTGTCATGGAAACTAGCCATTATTAATTTATACACAACAATGCTTAGGGGCAGCCGAAATATAATGAACTCTCTCGAGAAATTTCCAAATGGTTTGAAAGAATTCTAAAATATCATAAATCCCTCCTAAACATATACACAACATGCAAAAGTAAAATAAAAAAAATCAACTCTTTCCTTTGTAGGTGAATTTAATACTTACCTAAGAAGAGGGAAGCAGATTATCAGCAATACTCCACCCAGCAAGTGCCTACAGTCTAATATAACCAACTAAACTTTGCCCCCAGCTCTTGTATTCTGTGAGATTTTTTGTTGTTGTTCCATTGAGAGTAATATGTCCCTACGGACCATATAATCGAATGCCACACAGCGAGGAAATGTAAACCAATTTCTTATTTCATTATCTTTTGATTATAATAAAGCAGACAGTACCTCCTCATTGCTGACAGGAAGTGTGCACTTTGACTCTGCCAGCTGCCTGTTGTTAATGCCCGCGTATGTTCTCCCTGGGCTGTAATTGGCTACTCTGGCTCTCAAAATGAATTACTACTACAAAGGATGAGAACAGTTTTTGGTCTTCCTTTTGTGTTCTGATCTGGAGAAGCACAGAAAATCCTAGCCTTCTGTGAGATCAGCACGAGTGTTTCTATAATTCAAGGCAGAGGTGGAACTAGCTTCCCCGTAGAGTACTGCCCATACTTTCCCAAGAGGGATGGAGAAAAAGGCAGGGCATCCTTCCAGATTAAAATGTCCGAGGAAGTGGACTTGTTCACAAAAGCTCACATAGCAGTTAGTCTTTGAGGTTGTATAGTTTTTGCCTTGATTTTTTTATTTTTCTTTTGCTTTTGGCCTTCCAGATTAAGGGCATGAAGTTATGAATGTACACACACACACCCCCCTTCTGGTTCATGCTAAGAATAGTCAGGCCCAGTGCTTGATTTCACTGAACAACACCTGACACATCACACTACATTTGCACAGAGGAACACAGGAAAGTTCACTGATACCCAAGCCATGATTTCACTGAACAACACCTGACACATCATACTACATTTGCACAGAGGAATACATTTCCTACAGGAAAGCTCACTGATACCCAAGCCGTATGAGCTTCTCCCACAATTATCCAGGGCTCCTGTGTTAATACCGACAGCCCCTCCTCCCTTGGCAGAGGCACTGCAAATGGGCAGACATGGCAAAGTCACTCCGGGCTCACTCTTTCAAACTTGTGCACCCGCAAAACTGTGTTACATCAGCTGGGCCAGCCAAGCCATCTCGCTTCCTGAAATGAAGAGCTGCACACCCACACCCTGAATACACAGAAGTGGGCTGGATTTGTTAGATCCCGTAAATCTTACCTCAGCACAAAAACAGGGCAAGTGTCACATCTTGACAGCAGCAGAGCAGAGCGCTACTGGACAGGCTCTGGGCCACACGCGGCTCTTTCCCCCAAGAGACAGGAATGGCAGGGCATGCAAGGAGGAAGGGAAGGGATACCGGCCCTGAGGGAGGCCTCCCAGCCAGCACTTGCCACCTGAAATGTTTGCCTACCTCTTCCTCATGGTAGACCTGCCCTGTCAGCTGGCCAACATTAGAATGCAAAAGTGTACTAAAATGCAGTTTGTGTCACACTCCACACCCAGAACCAAATCATGTCCTAATAAGGCCGTGTCCAACCTAGCCAAAAGCATCCAGCCCCATTGGGTGAGCTTATATCTGTAGACATTCACAGGTGATCTTGCTTCTGTCTTCACCGTGAAAAGCTACACCTGCTGATTTTTGAAGGCTAAAGATCACTCTAAAGAGACGAGCAGGGGAGGGGGGTTGTTTTTCCAGAGGAGAAACCTAGTGTTTCTATACAAGTCCTGCTATTTGGACTCAGGAGGATCCAAGGAGCTAGCCGCATAAAAGGCAAATTTGCTGGTCTCAAATAGCAATCCTGTCCTAAGTTGTGTGCCTTTGAAATGGAAGAATGTTCCAGATCTACTTTGGTGATTGGCTTAAGGGGGAACAACTGCTCTGAAGGAAAAGGGAAGAGCTGCAACACCATCTGTGTTCTCTCAGAGAGCTATTGTGTCTCAGTTACAAGCTACTCAGTCTCGGGAGACTTTCATCATATGAGGAAAGCCATTCACAGTGAACTTCTACCTGACATTTAGCTGTTAAAGGCACAACAGGCTGCTCCCGGGCTTTGGAACGCATGGCCCTGAGAAGCCCGGTTGCCCCACTTCATCTTGTCCGTCTGTGGTCAGGCAGACTCTTATACAATAGTGGGTGGCGGGGTGGTGTTGTTAAGGAATGCTCCATCTATTTTTTAAAAAAAAATGGCAGACTCTTATACAATAGTGGGTGGCGGGTGTGCGTGTGTTAAGGAATGCTCCATCTATTTTTTTTAAAAAAGGTTTTAAATTATTTATTTATTTAAAATATGTTTACTCCACCTTTCTCCTTAAAAGGACCCAAGGCAGCTTACAACATTTAAAAGACATTATTTAAAAGCTAAAAACAGTAAGTATACAAATATTTTAAAAGGAATTAAACAAGTATTATATTAAAAATGGTAAATAAAATCAATATTAGAAATACATTTGAAAACAACAGAGCACAGCAATACATTAAAAAAATAAATTATCTCATGCTGCCAGTCATTAAGGAAAAACCACCTGAAGGGAAAGGTCTTTTGTCTTTTTCGTGGAAGGACAGCAAAGATGGGGCCAGCCTGGCCTCCTATGGCAGGGAGTTCCAGAGTCTGGGAGCAGCCACAGAGAAGGCCCTCTCTCCTGTGTCCCCACCAAGCATGACTGTGAGGCGGGGTGGAACTGAAAACTCTCCTGTGTCCCCACCAAGCATGCCTGTAAGGCGGGGTGGGACTGGAAGGAAGGCCTCCCCTGATTATCTTAATTCCCCGGCAGGTTCAATGGTGGTTTAATATCGTTATATCTTTAACTGCTTTTTTTTACTGTTGTTTCTTCAACAAAAAGATGGCAAACTCAGTCAAGTATTAATTTGTGTACAGATTTTATATGTGATACGTTCAGACCCAATAGGAGCTCTTAGGTGAGGAATTAATAGCAATACTGAGGATTTAATAATAATTAGACCAGTGAAAAGTAGTTGTTAAATGCATGTTCTAGTATCTTTTACAAACCAAGCATGGTTTGGGAAGAAGCAAGAACAATCAAGAATAAGTTGTTTAATAGCTATATGGTTCACAATACAGTAATATGCTTGGAAAACTTTTGCAAATTCTATTTTTTAAAAAAAACAAACAAACAAGTATTATAATTTTACCTGACTTTTAAATTAAAAGCATAAGGAGAAGTAGGTCTCCTAACAGAAAACAATAATGCTGCCGCCACTCTGTGTGTCACATCAAAACACCAATTTCAGATAGGTTGGGCGTGTGGCTAGTCTTCACAAATATTTGAATTCTATGGTCATTGATTCATCATGATATTTAAAAATCCATGCAAGGGCTAAGTGCAAAGACAGGGATTGTGTGCAGGCCTCTCCAAATGTTGTTGGATTACAGTTTCCAGCATCCTCCACCACTGCTTATGGTGGCTAGGGCAAATGTTGTTGGATTACAATTTCCAGCATTCTCCACCACTGCTTATGGTGGCTAGGGCTGATGGGAGTTGGAATCTGGCAGCATATGGAAGACCACACGCTTCCAGTCCTAGATTAGTGTCTTGAGAATAATGTCATTAAAGCCTCCATGCAGCAAAGGAATTGGAAATCCTGGGAGTCAACACAGTTCGGGCAGCTGTCAGATTCTAATATTGGATCTACTACTGGCGATGGCAAGATTGAAATTAATTATATGCAGATTCCTTCATTCTCTCTTCTGTAATAACAAAATTACTTAGATGAGCTGACAAGTCTCTGCTAATGCTTTTTGTCCAAAATAGAGAGATACTCATCTGTTTATACTGAGCTTCTGAATCTAATGAAAATAGCTGCAAATTTTAACCTTGCCACATGTGACTCCACCACCACTAAGATACAGTAGCATCTTTTCACCTGCCCAGTGATGTCTACAAGCCAAAATGTAGAGGGTATCAAGGTATTCATTAATAGCCAAATATAATAATAGTTTACAACACTTCAGTTACCTTATTCAAGATGGAAAAACAGATCAGTCACTCCTAATGGTCATTAATAGTTCTTCTTACATAACAGTTCATTTTCAATGGATGTGACAGACCAGAAAGTATTATGCATCGTATAGCTGTTAAAGAACTTACTCTTGATCATCCTGAAGCATATTTGCTTTGTACACTTCATCCAAAACTCTATACAGGGATCGTTAGCTGTGGCATATTTCACAGGCTGAACAGTCAAGGAGTACTATAATTACAGTGCCCTGTGTCTGGTGACTTGATAATGTCACCAGGCAAGAGAGCAGCTTATAGATGCCTGCCATTGGGGAAAAAAACAGCATCATATTTATTGTAATATGTATCCCTATCCCCTTACCAGAGCATGGAACAGCAAGATTTCAAATGCAGTATACAGTATATATATTTCAGAAACAGATGACCTCCAGGATCATCATCTTCCACTCTCTCCCTCCTCTGTCCCTCTATTATGCCATGCAGGAGGATCTTCTATTGAAGGAGTGAAGTAAACATAAAAGCTACTTTTCTTATACAAAATGGGAGTTCAGGAAGGTTTATACTGAGAGGCCTGATGAGGTGAGAACTCTGATCAGATTACTCAGCATCTATGAGCGAGAAGGGCATGGTCAGACAAGCTTAGGACACCTGGTGACACATGTATGTTACATGAAATTAGAAAAGATAGGGTCTTATTGTGATCCCCATGACTTATGAAGACATGTATGCTGATTTAATAGTTTTTCGCTAGACCTTCTAAACACAGGTGGTTTCTTTGTACAAAAACTGGTGTATTTAATACAGCTTAGATCACAGCAGAAATAGAATGTCAGAGAGAGAGTCTTGTGCTGTAACTGCAAATCCACACTTTCAAAGCATGTGAGAGACAGATTGACACAAAGGAACAACGCACCCACTTGAATATGAAGACACAATGAGTCAGGAAGATTCAATATATGTTATCTTTACTTCACAGTCTCAGCAAATCAAAAGACAGGCTTGCATTCAAAGGAGCCATTTCACATCTGTAATATATTAACAGAACTTCTCCAAAATACAGACCTTTTTTTTAAATAACAGTTTGTTTAAATCACTGCAGTTTAAATAGGAACTCTAGGGAAAAAAGGTCAAAGCACAAAGTGGAAAGAAGGTGGGCACCAAAAGCAGTTGGCTAGAAAGCGTCTGCAAAATTAAATGGAGGCCTCGCCTATCAGGGAGCCCATATACTCTTAATGTTATCAGTACAGGGCAATTTTCAAAACACCTGCTGGGAAGGGCTGTGGACACACATACACACAAAATAAAATGAATTTGCATCCTGTACTAACTCAAGGTCCTCATCCACTTGGCTGTCACTTGATCCTGCAGCAAAATAACAAAGTGATAGCTACTGAAATCAATGCAAACAAGGGTGTAATTGAAAACAAACAAACAAGCAACCCCATCTGCCAGAATCTCACAAGGTCTGTCATTTTATTTAAAATGAAACACACCACTCTATCAGGGAAGCAAACAAAACTCCCAAAACATTGTAGAGGGATAGAAGTAAATATCCTACTTTACTGTGTTCTCTGTCACAGTCACTATCTACATATTTCCTTGGGACATTTCTGAAGGAATAACAGAAACCTCATCTCCCCTGCAAAGCTGAACAGAACTGCAATACACACAGAGCTAAATAAACCACTATTGTTTCAAATACCACCTAATATGATGGATAAAGGCAGTTGTGGAAAAAGGTTCCAGCTTTCAGCACAGATTCAGTAAATTGTTTTTTCAGAGAACCTGAATTTCAAGCACAAATTAGAGGAATTATAGGGAATTGTGAAAATTTTTGTACAAATAAAATTGTCTTTTTTTTTCTGTATAAATCAGAAGCAAATCAGATTTTCAGTTATCTAGGCAATCTGTTAGCCCCATGTGCTCAACAGCTACAAGCACATTCAGATTTAATTTCTAATACGTAGTCTTTCCTCCCTACATTTTAGTTCAGGAAAAGTAAGAGCTATACCTCCCGGTGGTTTTGTTGTGTATGGTAGTTAACCAATATTAGCAATTCAGCTAGAGGGAACAGAAGATGCAGAAAATCCCAACAGGCTTTATGTTTTATATACTATATTTGTCAATTAAGACCTTATCTACATAATCAACAATTTGAAGGTAATAATGACATTTCTCCAAGAGAAAGTGACGACTTTTAAAATACCATGCAGCTAAAGGGGATGTGCTTTGATTCAGGTGGTGAGGTGCCCAAAACAGCAGCAATAAAATCTAAATAATAAACACAAAGTAAAGAAATAAATAAATCAAAACGTAAGCCATCTTTTTTCCTTAGAATGCCTTCCAGCTGCTAGGATGATGCTTAGACTAGCCAAGGAGCAACTGCATTACAACGGTAAGATGCTTTAAGGCCAGAACTAAGCAGTCATCATTTTATTGTTGCATGAAAGAGAATAATCAAGACAGCTACATGAACCTAGAGGAATGTTCCAAATTTAATTAATGATGCATCCATGCCGTCATACATGCATATTGCAGAAGAAATGGCAGAGACTTCCAGTGCTCTAAAACCAAAGTGCATTAGATTCCTCAGAAGATCAGTGTATTTCCTTTGTCACAAGATGGCAGGGATCATGCGAGGAAGAGCTGACTGACAGGTTCACAATGCTGATTTTTCTTTTGAAGCTTCACTGCATGAGAGCTGGAGGTGTCCATATCTACAAATTTCAACAGCTGTTGGTAAATTTCAGTTTAAGGAGTCTGTTCAGGAACGGATGTTCTCCAGGAGTGTTGCCAGATGGAATGGGACAGCAAAAACAAAACTTTTCCTTCATCGTATCATTGACATGGTGAAAAAATCATATGGAGGAGAAAAATATATTCCTAGATGTAAGTGTGTGTTATGTGAAAAATCCAGGGAAATGTTAGCAGCTTTCCTAATAACACACATATCTACCACTCCTGCTCGTGGATGTTACGTGCACTGGAGGGGAATTAAACGGTCCTTACCATTGTCATGTCCCTAATCAACATCTATCCAAATGGAAACAAGAAGAAAGCAATGTGTAGTGACTGCCTACTGGGTTTTCTTGTCCTCTGGAGGAAAGTAAGGAGGAGGAGGAGGCTGGTCCTGAGATGAGAAAGAGAGAAAGTAACTTGATTACTGCACAAATGTTAATGGCAGGAATAATTCAAGCTGGTTACTTCAGACCCATTCCAAAATGTGCATGAACACCATTCAAATCCTTAATTCCAAAAGTATTTGTAAGAACTGCTGCCTTTATATTCATTCAGGCCTTTCCAAGTAGTTACTGGATCCTGGAAGCCAACGACTGGCTCTGCTATGAACTCACCTGTGTTTCTTTACATTACTACAGGCACCTGTAAGTACCAATCACCTACCCCACAAAGTGAATGCAATGAAGACTTTCTGGGACTTTCTGCATCAGAAATGCTATTCAAATTAAAGTTACAATAAGATATGAAACATAACTTGTATACACACTAATAACTTGTATACACACTATTATCTTCCACTGCAAAAATAACTTGTGCCACTTCTGTCATTAGGCTCTACAGTATTTTACAGAATGCACTCCCGTATTAAAAGGACAGTTTATTCCTTGCCTCTTCTAACTGCCGCACCCACTTGTTGGCCAGTCTTCCAGGATTATGATACATAGATGGGAGGGGTGGTTCGGAGCAAGGAGGAAGAGTGTTTGTTCTTGCACCCACTTGTTGGCCAGTCTTCCAGGATTGTGATACATAGATGGGAGGGGTGGATGGGAGCAAGGAGGAAGAGTGTTCTTTATTCTCTTCATTTCTAAGACAGCAGTGACAAATGAGCGAAGAAAGCATGATATGATGCTTCTAAGCCAATGTCTGGATGGGAAACCACTCGGGAAATCCATGTCAATTCCATAATGCTATAAAGGCAAATAAATTAAATACACATCTACACAAAACCTACCATTGGCATGTAGACATTGTGAGGATTGCCTGGGTTGTAATAAGCACTTGCAGCAGCTTCTGCAGCTTTGGCTTCAGCTGTGGGGGGAAGGGGAATTAACAGATTAGGTAGAAACAACTTATGGGATAACAGCATATTGATTTGAACAGTTTCAGAGGAAAAAGAGAGAAGAAGAAGAGGAGGAAGTGTACAACAGTGGTGTGCTACTTTTTTAAAATCAGATTCTGTTTCCCAGAATTCTCCTGTCTTCTCATCAAAAATGTAGTCTTACTGCCCATTAGACTCTATAGAGGTGAAGTCCCAAAGAGCTACATATCCAACAAACACCTAGACCTTCCAGGAATCACCAAGGCAGTTTCCTTTTTTGTACATGAACAAAGGAAACACAGGCTTCAGAGGCCTCCAATGTAGGCCCTGTTCCAGATGAGTGAAATGTAAGTGTTTGTGGGGATGTGTGTTTGTGCACTGAATTCCCAGAATTTTCCCTGGGAAATTCTTGGAGAATTCTGGAGGTTGGACTAAAAACAGCAATGCCACAAAGCGCACACACCACTGCTGCACATTCTTTTAGATTAACACAGTTGAAACAACGTTTTTGCTTTTACGAACCTCTATCAATTAAGTAAGGAGCCTGCACTAGAGAATGCTTTCTATTATGTCCAAAGGAGGGAGCTTAGTTTTAGTTTTAGTTTATTGATTAAGATCTTTCTATTAATTAGGAACAATATATTTCACAGAAAGTGGAAGAGGCCCACTTTTTATTATTCTTTTTTTATTATCTGGATCACTCTGTGGTCATTTGCTGAGGAAAACTTTGCTTGTGTGAAGACACAGCCTAATTAATAGAAAGATCTTAATCAATAAATTAGGAACAGTGGAAGAGGCCTACTTTTTATTATTCTTTCTTTATTATCTGGATCACTTTGTGGTCATTTGCTGAGGAAAACTCTGCTTGTGTGAAGACACAGTATGAAAGCAGACAAAAATCCCACCTCTGAGGGAAAAGTGACAGAATTTCCTATGACATGCATATGGCCAATGTCTTTGTTTACAAATAGGTGAACAGAGTGAATATATCTTCATTTTATACATTAGCTTCTCCAACAGTGTAATGGACTAGATTATGCTGAGCCAATCATGCACACTGAGATTTTTCACTATTTCCCAGTCTATAGTCTTGAGGTGTGTGGCAGTCAAACCAAGACAGATTAAATCTTTATGTAGCAGGTTTTTGTTATTGCTAGAAAAGTAATAATTTTCAGGCAGCAACAAAAGAGAGCTCTAATAGTTCATTACAGTGTTTCACTGAGTGATCTTTTTCAAAAAAACAGAATATTGCTGGAGAGGGGAGTCACAAATGGAACCAGGAACACAGCCTCTCCAACACAACCCTAAGACTGGCTTTTTATATTTTGACAGCATGGCAGGGCCCATACGTCAGCCATACTAATCAGAATCTCATACTAGGACTGGCCCATCTTTCAGATCCTAAACCAGCATTTAAAAATGAGAATCTTATTTCTACCATTTGGATAAAAATTTAGAACAATGTTTTCTAGTATCCTTTAAAAAATGCTACTGCCACACATCTGGTGCAGTCCACAGAAGTGATTATAAAACCTTACCTTTTTGTATTTCTTCTCTAATCTGCATCAATCAATATTGCTAATTAAGCCCTGACTCTATTCTATCCATGTTTGTGGACAATCTGTCATTCCCTATGGAAAACTTAGTCCTTGGCGCATGTCTTGAAGGAATTGGTGTACTTACTACTTTTTCTTTGCTGACAAGGTACAGTGAGGAAAGAAAGCCCCTATCTTGTGTTCTATATTAACAGCATTTGCAGAGTGGCAGTGAAGAAAAACCCATTCCTTTGAAATGGATTGGTTTGGCTCTGGAGCCAGAAAGAGGGGATTAATCTGAGATTCATCTGAGACACTGATTGTATCATTTATAGAAATCTGCCCTATGGTTTAACCACATTGCTACATTATTTTCCAAAAACAAGTCCGATTCTCAAAAGAGAGGCTAAACAGGTTGTCTCTCTTACAAACAGTGAATCATGCTGAACTAGAAGGCTCTTCACAGTTCTATATGTTTTGGACAGTATTAATTCAGGTCCTCTGGGCAGAATCACATACCTGCTGGAGTGGAGGGAAGATCTGGACCAGCAGCAGGTGGCTCCATAGGCCCAGGATAGGGAGGTGGGGGAAGATGCATGTATCCCATGTCTCCATCTGTTGGGGGGCCAGGGTACATTTCTACCATGACAGAGAATGACAGCATTGAATACTGAGGAAACAGCTGGTTGAGTCAGACCTCTGTACTGTCTGCCAAGATGTCTGTCCTCACACTAAACACAACAGACTTCTACAAACTTTTTATATCAGTCACAAAACATGCATGACAGAATTTTCTCCTTCTTTTCTTCCTGTGCAACCCTATCCCATGCATATATATCTCAGAAAAGATCCTCAAACCACTGAAATGATTTTTTGAGGGTATGAAGATCAAGAAGACTTGAGAATTGCTCCCCTCCAGGTGACAGAAGTGCCTCCAGTACCAGAAAAACATAAAGCAGATTTCACCAAGAATACATTGGGAGACTACAGAAGAACATAAGAGCCCAGCTGGATCAGGCCAAGGGCCCATCTAGTCCAGCTTCCTGTATCTCAAAGTGGCCCCACCAGAGGCCTCTGGGAGCACATAAGACAACTAGAGACCTGTCTCCTGATCCCCCTCCCCTGCACCTGACATTTGGAGGTACCTTTCTTCTAAGCCTGGAAATGATACATCCCCATCATGGCTCGTAACCTGCAATGGACTTTTCCTCCAGGAATCTGTCCAATCCCCCTTTAAAGGCATCGAGGCCAGATGCCATCGCCACAGCCTGTGTCAAGGAGTTCTACAGACTAACAACACACTGGGTCAAGAAATATTTTCTTTTGTCTGTTCTCACTCTCCCAACACTCAATCAGAGTGGATGTCCCCTGGTTCTGGTATTGCGTGAGAGGGAAAAGAGCTCCCCTCTATCCACTGTATCCAGCCCCTGCAGAATTTTATACATCTCAATCATGTCCCCCCTCAGGCGCCTTTTCTCTAGACTAAAGAGCCCCAAACACTGTAGCCTTTCCTCATAAGGGAGGTGTAGCCTTTCCTCATGAGGGGGAACGACCAGTCATTATTTTAGTCTCTCTCTTCTGTACCTTTTCGAGTTCCGTGATGTCTTCTTTGAGGTACAGTGACCAGAACTGTGTGCAATACTCCAGGTGCGGCCTTACCAGCGTTTTTTACAATGGCATTATAATGTTGGCTGTTTTATTTTCAATCTCCTTTTTAATGATATCTAGCATGGAACTGGCCTTCTTCACTGCTGCCACACACTGGGTTGACACTTTCATCGAGCTGTCCACCAGCACACCAAGATCTCTTTCCTGATCCATCACAGACAGCTCAAAACCCATCAGGTAGTAAATAAAGTTTTGATTTTTTGCCCCAATGTGTTAAACTGAACTCTGGTATCATGGTATGTCAGTCAAGCCAGAATAGACACGAGGCCAAGTTCAAAGCTACTTCAGACACTACCTACCTCTTGCCAATCTTCAGACTAACTTCCAACTTATTTCATAACAACTGTAAAAACTAACCAGTATGGGAATGCTACATTAATGAAGAGCACTGAAAAAAGGGCTGATATGGATTAATAAAGGCAAGCATTTTCTGACAAAATAAAACGGACCTACATTTAACTAAGAAGTTCTTACAGCTGCCAATTTGGCAACATTTGAAAGCTCTTTAGTTTCTTTCCTATTGACAAATAAAGGAATGAATTCTTCTGCTTCCAGAACTCACGAGGAGGTGGTGGTGGATAAGGATATCCTGAAGGAGGAGAAGAGTACATTCCATTGGCAGCAGGTGGGGGAAATGCATAGCCCCCATTCGGCATATAGGAATATCCATAGGCTCCATTGGGGACCTCCCCTCTTGAAGCTGCAAAACAGAGGAGAGCTCATGCTATCAAGCCAGCAGGGTCTTCCTCAGGGATACAAAAACCAGAATCACCCTAGACCACACCTTCCAATGAACCGAAACCCCACCCGACCACTATAATACGACCCACATCTGATTGCAGCTGGAGAGATGAATAATAACAGGGCTTATCATCTTTTGTTAACATGATCATTCAACGCAGATTAGTTCAGAAAGCCCTCCTGTATAGTGCTCAGAGCTGGAAGAAGGAATTGTGGGGTTAGAAACAGTAGGAAGAAAGGAGGAAGCCTTTAGATAACAACATCTACAAAAAATTAAAAATCATGCATCCTAAGTCATTTTACATCTGCATTTAAGTGCACATTCCCCTCTTCTTCAAAGTGTGTCCAGACACCCATCTGTCTTGGGTTGGACTCAGGGTGATCACTTCCCTATTTTTTTCACTTAAAAATAAAAGTCAGTACCTTGAGACGCTACTTGCAACATGCGCTGTCCAAACTCAATGGCACCTCCAGCTGTGAATGTCATTTTGAATGTTGTGGATCCTTCCCAGCCACCTAGGGAAAGGAAAAAGCACACCAAAGTGGAGTGAAGAGGGCTGTGTCCACAAATATCCATGCAGAACAAATCTGCTAGTCTTCAGGGTGCCACAGAAGACCTCCTCCTTACTTAAAACTAAATTTAAAAAAAGTAATATTTCATATAGCAAACATTATTTAAAAAACAAATTACATGATTTAAAATTGCCATTCTATGCAGTAAGTTGCAGATCTCTGGGCCACTATCAATTTATAAAGGTTAGTTACCATGTTTTGGATCAGCCTCAACCTTATAGAACACTGATAGAATAATTTATCATCTATCTCATCCTCTGTTGCCAATTCTTTGGATTTCTCCTTTAGTCAAAATGCCACTTGCACTTTTGGTCATTAACTTCAACAAAGCTATCATTCAAAATGACTAAAATATATAACAGACAAGAAAGAAACCTCCACTGAAATGCCACAGCTGTCATTTCTAAAAGAAGTGTCTAGATCTCATCATTGATTGTACAAGGCAGAAGCCAAACCTGATTCATGTATAGCTCTGTGTTGCCTTTGGGTATATTTATTTTATCACTCCCCATCTACACATACCTCTCTTTCTCTCTCTCACTCTGAAACCCCTTTTCTCAAGAAACTCCCAGGTCTCCAAGAAGGCCAATATATTACATAAAATATACACTGAAATTGGGTATATGCAAGTTGCAACATCATCTTCTATTTTCTAATTTTTGCTATTATTTAATTAAAGCTGATTTTAATTTTCTGAAGGCAAAGCATGGCTGAAATGTGTATCATTTTTAGGACTTTTAGAAGTGGAGTGACAATTTTTCTTATTTTCTTTAGGAAATGGTTAAAGGCCAACAAAATTCCATCTGCCAATCTTTGACGAACTAAAATCAATAAGATTAGATTTGCTCTGAGTCAGCAAAGACAAATTGGATTTGCTAAAAAGCCTCCACAGTGATTTTTGTAAGTTAGCCATAGATCAATTTAGAATGACAGTAAAAGTGACACAGAATTAAATGGGAAGTATTATTCTATCATAACTAAAGAAAGAGCACATGGGTTAGACAAACAATATTAGAGACAAGCGGTTTGAAAACACATACACAACATCATTTGTATCAATCTTGAAAAAATGTTACACTGGACATACAGCTGTCCAATAAATCCAAGACTTGAGTATGTGCGAAGACAAAATAGCCATACAAGTAAAATATTCTGGAGAAGATTCAAGACAATTCTTTATACTAATTTCAAATACACGCATGCTTCTCAAAGCCAACTCTTATTCATCCTCAGGTTACAAAGCTTTAGCTCAGGCTTGTCCAACCTGCGGCCCGTGGGCCACATGCAGCCCAGGTTGGCTTGTAATGCGGCCCAGTGCAATTTTTTATTTTAAAAGAAATTCCAAAGGTTCAAGTTACACTGCCAACGCTTGCGGCTGGGGCACGTCACAACGGTAGAGGGGGAGAGAGGGAAGGAAGGAGTGGGAGTGGAGGGGAGAGGGGGGCTGTGTGACTGCATTGTGCCGTCCCTGTCAATAGGTGGACGCCCTCCCGGCCCCATAAAGCCACCAGAGCCGAAGCTGGCAGCCTCTGCTGTCTGAGATCGCAGCTGCCGGTAAGCGCACTTGGAGCGGGGCTGCGGAGGACGGCTAGGGCTGCCCCCCCCCCTGCAGCCCAAACCAAATTTATGTGCGGCCCAAACCAATTTTTCATCTTCTAATGTGGCCCAGGGAAGGTGAAAGGTTGGACACCCCTGCTTTAGCTGCTCACAACTACTGCATCTTTTGTGGCCCAGGGAAACTGAATCCAGGTTAGACTGAATCCAGGTTAATAGGGATTTACAAAATACCTATGCCCAAGTTCTCATAATGTTTGGTTGGCTTTAGTGGCCAAATCAAAAATTCTAGTTGACAGGCTTCTGCCCACCCCCAGCTGTCATTTGCACGGCCTTTCCTTCCTTCAGGAAGCAAAATGTTTTACTAAGCAGTGGCAAAGGAAATTGCAGCTACCTTTCCCTGCTCTGCAATAGCAGAAGGGAGAGACAGAAGAGTTCTTATTTTGTGGCCCTGTGTGGCTGGACAGTAACCAAACCCCAGTCCTATTTTCAAGCTTGGGGGTGCTGAGAAGGCAGAGAATGCAACATAGCTCCTGCCTACATCTCCAGATTCCAGCTTAACAGGAAGGTGGGTCGTTCTTCATGGCTGCCAGAGGACAGGGTCTCATTTTACATTATGAAAATCATCAACATTATCATCATCTTAAAACTGCAAAGCTGGAAGGGACCCTATGGATTATGATAAGGTAGGATGGGATATTGTTAAATTAATGTCTGGCAAAAGCATTTATTTCATGCAGTACAGACACAAAAGCTGTTCAAGTGCCTTTTAGTGAATTAACTGAAGCTCTGCAATGAAGAATTGCACAGCCAAAGAGAGATAAGACTCCAGGCAAGATAAGGCTCTGGTTGGAGCTCAGTGACCTCCTTTTAGGTCTTCTGGGGCCTGGAGTGCTGTCTGTTATGGAACATTTAAGGACATTAAGTGAATGAGATTGTCTGACTGATTCCCCCCTTCCATATTTTCAGTGATGAGGATAAGATTAGAGTTTCCCCTGACATCTTGCTTCATTGTAACTTCAAAAACAATAAATGACAATTAGACCAAGTGTTTCTTTATGGCACTTATCTAAAATAAATGATTCAATGTACTTACTGCATTATGAGCTCTTCTGATGAAACACAAAGTGAGTTCAACTGTTTACAAGAGCAGCTTGGAGCCATTTATGCAAAGAAAATCTCAGAAACAATCCTAAATTCAGTGTGGTTCTAATTTCCTAAATTTCTAATTGTACAACTATAAACACCATATTTGAGCTTTCGTAGAACCATATTTTTTCCAAAGGATTGGTGCAGAGAGCAAGGCAAAGAGAAGCAACGGGGCAAGGTGTCTCCGATACTGGAAGTCTTTGGGGATGAGGATCCCATTGAAAGTATCACCCTCCTCAGCACCTTCCCTACCCAAAAAAAAACAAACAAACAAAAAACCTGAAACTAATAAATTGGAGAGATGGAGCAAGTATAAGAAGGAACTGTGCATGGCAAAAACAAACGCAAGAAAACAGTCATATACTAATAGAAGTGTGAGACTGACTTTTCTCGGTTTGCTGTTCTAGCAGACTCAATCTTTATCTCTGCTTGTTTGGCTCAGTTTTCTCTGCTACTGTAAAATCAAGGACATGGTTCCTTTTCACAGATATCATGGTGATAATCCCACATGCTTGAGCAAGGCTGAACATACTATTTCTAAGCTTGCTTTCTATCATTAGTGACTGATCTAAGTCATGACTAAAATTATTTGCTCTCAGAATCTTGCAAACTGTGGTCAGTCAATAATATCTACCAAACTTACAACAGGTTCAGGATGGACAATATAATTTTGCTGTTATCAAAATGCACAGTTTTGGTAAAAAAAAATTAACACTACAGTGATGCAGTGCTGTCCCAGACATAGATGCTATGTTTTATCAAAACAAGTTTGGTTAAATTTATAGCTAAAAATTAAACCTCCACGTTCAAAAACAAAATGACTAGGATTTCAGTTAGTAGCAATAGATGCTGATACTTGACTAGTGACTGCAGTTCAGGCCCAGCACTGAAATTCTCCTGATCCAAGAGAAAATGGTTCTTAATTGTTGGCAGCAGATATCCACCCTGTATGCCCACAAATCTATTTGCCAGCTTCTAGATCCTTCACTCTGCAGTGTCCACATAAATTTGAATGCATAAAACACAAAGGCTTTTTTACGCACCTCCTGCCTCTGCTTTCACGGAACCCTTGATGTAATTTGCACCAAAAACTGGCTGTTTGATCTCACATTCTTTCATCAAATAAAACGGCATCATGAAAGACTGCAGTGGATCCTTTCCTTTGGACACAAAGATAACCTGCAGACAAAAGAGTACAATTATAGACTTTTAGCAAGGCATGAGGAAAATCAGAAGAAAAAGCTCGAGCTACCACTATGGAAAACTGGGAGGACCTTCTGAAGCCAGCAGTCAAGAGAGGTCACACTTTCTTTAGATTGGCAACAAGCCATGGATTTAACAGATACTCTGAAGCCACAATACCTGCTACAAACACACATGAGCATGCATTCTAGTTTGCCTTTTTTCCAGAAAGCTTGGTAACTTCCAGAAAGCCCAAATAATATACCAGGCAAATATGCAGAGTCTGTGAAAAATCCACTTGTCACTTTATCTGCAGGTAGAAAGAAGCCCTTTATCCACCTCATTTCCTCCTCTCCCTCTAGCCTCACTGCATCAATTAACCCCTCTCCTGCTCTGCTCCCCAATTAAGGATACACTAGTTAGCCAGCTGTAACTCTCAGCCTCAACTCACCATGAAGTGTTGGCAGGAAGAAACCAGATTTCTCTAGTCAGGCTTCTTCCAGATATGAATAGCACTACAAGCCTACCAACGTAGGGTAGCTAGGTAGGGATCTGTAATACAACAAAAATCCTAGAGGATATCTGTTTGGGAAAGGCTGTTCTAATTGTCGTCCATTCCTTCATATTTTCTTGAGCATATAGGCCATTTGACTCCAAATGATGGAATGGGAGTTGGAGAAGTCAATAAGGGTATGACGGGGCCAGGCTTCTAAATGCAATTTTGCTGTTCCCAAATATTTATAGCTGAATCACTATGCCTTTTCTAAATTTTGGTTTAGAGTAACCACAGAGTATACAGCCATTGGTTAAAGTTTGCCACACTTATATCATACACAAAATATAGCTGTAACACACCCACAAAGAAACGCTAGAAACGGTTTGGGTTCTGGCAGTTAAAGTAAGCATAGGGATTCTAAAAGAAATTACATCTGCTTCTACAATGGTTCACGATGGAATTATTTCTTCTGAGCACATGGCTGCCCACTTACTCGATAGGGGGTCATGAAGACACTGCCTTTCTTGGTACCCTTGAAGGCATCCGGCATGTGTTCCATATCATGGAATGTTAGTTCGACGTGCTCATATGTCATCAAAATGCTGCATGCAAACAGAAAAGAATTTGACACTTGGATTAATTCCGTATTCATGATTTAAACCCAACATGGGTAACACGGGGATTTGAATACCCCTTATCATCACATATTAGGTCACCAAGTGCAAATCACGTCTATCATGCCCAAATTGTGAAATATATGCAATACACAATGATCACTTGTTTGGTAGCCTGTCAGCAATCCACGTGTCCTGAAAAAAGTTGAATGAGAGTCATTCAAAAATGGACACAATGTTTTATCAGCACAAAATAATACAATATGAAAGCATAATATGAAAGATAGCATTTTTCAGTGCAGCTAGAACTACTCACACTGAAATGGCATAGCATGCTTAGTGGACTAGTTGTTTGTATCTAATTTAACATGGCCCCACTGTATCATGGCATTTTCCCCCCACAGAGCTTAGAATCCTCAGCCAGTGCAGACAGTTGCAATGTTGAGTGGAGTTTTCTGAAAGGCATAGTCCAAAGGAATAGCTGTTCCAAACTCTGCTTTCTCAGCAAATGTTCATACTATTCCAGTGAATCCAGTATCTGCACTATGAACACATGGAGCACATCTGCTCACACTGATCCTCTATTCACATGACTGACAAGAGACAGAGTGGCTATACAATTCGAAGACAAATGGCCACACAAGCATTCTGCAGAGATATTTCTCTGTGCTCTGTAGCAAACTGATATGTCATTACTTACTGGATATATAGCCTACATTTCTCCCCAAAATGGGACTCAAGGTGGCTCACAATAAGGTTTAATCAAAATCAGAATTAAAACACACAAAACATTCAAATGTTAAAAACAATTAAATTTAAAGCACAGCCATACAGAAAGTACAGTACCCACACAGTGAAAGTGCCTTGTCAGTTGGCTGAAGACCTGAGTAAGCTGGTCTACACCTGCCAGTTGAAGGACAACAGGGAGCAGGCCAGCCTAGCCTTCAGAGTGATCACTGCTCTCTAAAATCCTCACTTGCAGACAAGGCTATATTGGGAGAACACAGTCCTTCAGACAACCTGGACCATAAACCATATAAGGCTTATTTGTCATAACAAGCACTGTAAATTGTGTCTGTAAGTAAGCAGACTTTCTAATAGGGTCCCATAGGGTTTCCCCTCCACCATGGGCATCTCTCTTTCACTGTGCCCCACTTCGATTGCTTCTTTATCTTTGATCACGATCAGCAGCAGTATCTTCTTCCTTTGTAACAGGCTTTGTTAGTCACTTCCAATTTCCCCCCAAGGATGAAACCACAATCACAAACAGGGGAAATCTGTAATATGACTGCATATGCCATGACCTCCAAGGGGCAGTGCTTCTTTCCGTGACCATCACCATACTACACCATGTAACTGCTGTTCCACAGCACTTTGCATCAGCTAGAGGGGAGCAGGACGTGGAAGAACAACATAAAGCAGAGGAGATGTTGGGAGTAGGTCCCTGAACATCTGCAGTATCTCATGTTACAAAGATGGTATCTATAAACATTCCATTTGCTAGTATTATTTGCAATTGTAGTCCCTTTTTACTATTCCCTATAAGTTAAACAAAAGCATGTAGCACAAACTGCTATTTTAAAAGTACTTGCAGTACTTCTTTGGATAATGCCTTCCTCAGTATTCCAGTTATACAAACTGGTACAAGCAAAGTGTCTTGGGGCTTTAATTTCCCATTAAGGAAGATTAAAGCTCTGCATTAATTACTTCCACATTTGATGCCTCCAGAAGATCAGCAAAGGCTGTGTGACATCTTATACAGTCAGTAACCTAGAAACCACAAAGACACAATGAAACCATGAAATCCTATATGGGGAGTAGGTTAGCTATAAAAAGGTGAAGCACAATAGGAGATTAATAGGCAATTTCAGTCCCACTGCCAGATGTCCATGTACTGACATGCATCAGCTCTCCCAACAAGCCCACTCCCTGCTTCTTCTTCCTCATGAAGCAGGTGATGCCTGGCTCATGGGGGAGATAGGCAACTGCCACACCTCAGGCTCAGAATATGCCAGTCAGGCCACTCCTGTGTGCTTCCTTTCGTAGCACAATGGGTTAGGGACCTACTTCCTGCTGACTTCAAACTCTTACATTCAGTGTGTGTGAGTGAGTGAGTATGAATGAATGTATATTGATATGTCAACTAACCAGATGTGAAGCCATGTACAGAGGACAGCAGCCAATAAAAACATTTCTAATTTGGTGGCAGAATGTATTTTCTCTGCTCTTTAACTATATAATGAATTAATCATACAATGATGGGGTGAAGGGGTCTCAAAAAGTCAATACCTGCCTTCCTGCTTTTGTATGTGAATGCTTGCCTGCTGCCTGTGAACATGTGTGTGCACATGAATACACAACTTTTTTTTTCTTTTAAATCATTATATTACAATCCGAGAATGTTCAATCAATTTGTGGCAAGCAAAAGTAACTTGAGATACAGTCAGGATGGACAAAAAAATGTATATAATTCACAGAACTCACTGCCACGGACTGTTGGGTGTTTTTTTGCTTTGAAAACAATGCCTAATAGCCACAAGAACTGAGAACGGCACCTCCACCTTCGCTCCAGACACAATACAGAGCTAACTTTGAAAGGTACCTGTTTTACACAAGGATGCGACCCTTTAAGAAATACATTGCAGCACAAGCTTTTACATCACCATCTTTACATCTAACTTATACAATGAAAAACTCAGTTGGCAGGGAAGATACACACAGAAGCTGGCTTTAGACAGCAAGAAAATGCAAGAAGCCAAGCCGGTGGCACTGTCAGTGGAAGCTCCAAGGAGGATAGGGAGACACGTACACAGCCTATCTGTGAGCTTTCCACCGATGGAAACACAAACGTCCCTCCCCCCATATATTCAACGCGGTAGCCTTAAAAAGCGCTGCCAAATGAATCTGTTGACAGAAGGCTCGGCGACCCCCCACGTGTGAGTGCAGGTGAGAGAAAGAGACGACGAAGCCCAGGCGAGCTAGGAAGCAAGGGCTGCCTTTGCCCGGG